CCCAGATTTCTCTCCGTGGGAGTATGCGAAGTCGCAGGCATGCTCAAGGAGGCCGAACAAGAATAACACATCTTGAACAGGTTTGTAAGAATGACTGTTTAAGCCATAATGCCAAAGACGTGCCAAGCTGTCTGTTTAGCACCGAATCACCGGGCGGCGCGGCGCCTGGACTGGGGTGAGGGCCACATGGAGCACGTGCCGTACCGCCCAAACTGAGGGCGGGGCAGAGCCCAATGGCGATACGCAAAATGACATTTAACGCGCTTGGCTTCGACTTAACATTTGTGTTAAAATGCAAAGACCTGTCTGAGCTCTGAACGATTTAAATCTGCGTGGTAAACCTGAAAGGCCCTGTACCTTCAATGGAATGCCTTATTCTTACTTATTTTGCTCGACTTTGCTTTTACCACAAAGTATTAAACGGCTCTTACAGCGATGTCCTTTAGGCTTTAACTCAGTCAGGGCAGCGCAAATACCACAATTAAAAATAGATGAAGCTCAAACAATCGGATGCGTGTTGTGTCTCTGTTTCGTCGGCAGTTCAGGCATGAGCAATAACTGAAACTGCGCCGATAACAATTTTATGCGCCATCATTAAGTCACCGGACGTTTGTGGCCGGGTTGTCACCAAATGCCGGCTTGACTTCTGCGACAGCGATTGCTAACCACCAGAAATTGCGTTGAAAAATGTTAACATTTCTATAAATTATTGTATTTCCAATTCTGGAAATAATCATGCTGAGGACAAATGTGACTATTCTTATCAGTTCGTTTATTTGAAATTCGGTAAGAGTGCTGTCACCATTCACGCAGAAAAACACCGCTAGAAAAATCATGACGACAAACCTCCCGCCAGGAGCGCTGGTAGAATCCCTGCCGACCGATTTATGAATGAAATCATAACCTATGCCACGCTTCAGGTGCACCACTACCCGCCTGCAGATGGGGATTTAAGGTGGAGTGGCTCCCGTTGAATGGAAAATACCGGCGGAGTTGCTTTGGCTTTCGAGGTATTTTGTGTTCTGGAGACGGAATCAGCGCTGTTCAGTCACAGTCGTGGAAGATGCGGTTTTAGAGATGTTCTATGACTTCTAAGGTTCGACGTGAGTTGTAAGGCTGATTGGTGTGCACGTACCAGGCATGCATGCTTCATTGAAGGCATAAGGGCAAGGTATTCTAGGATGCGAGTAAGCTAATAATTGTTAAATGAATTCAATAAGTCGTTTTTTTCTGGCATCATGCGCTTTTCTGCATGTATTGATATGGCTAGACTGGTTATCTGACCACATTAAAAGATATCCCATCATCTTCAAATTCACTTATGCATGAATTGGAAGTGACTAAAGGGCACATGTCAAGGTCAAAAACAGAAGCTGCCACAGAACTTGAAGTGTCTTTACATGTTTCAAATGTTATGTGATGATGCCCAAACATAATACCTCCTTTGCTCATTTAATTTTGCTTCGAGCACTGCTGCGTTGGAACTCCTTTCTCAGGCTTGTTTTTGGTAAAGCTTACGTGATTGTAAATCCGCTGAAGCCATTGAGCTCGCGAGTTTTAAAAATCAGTGCGGTTTTTCCATGTTTCGGCCAGTTTTCTAGACCAGCCCAATCCAAGTCGTGAATAAACTCGCAGTCGACGAACTCCTCCAATCGGTGGGGAGCCGTGGTACGTACCCTTTGTCCGGACTCTGCACCCTCCTGAACTTGCGCCTCTGCCCCTGGGCGGCGGCGTCACCGCCTACTTGCGCTGCCAGCCCCGGGCGGCGAGGGCGACCAAACACGCGCATCGCGCAACAGTGGCGTGTGGTGGCCCGCCCGGGCCGACCCTGGGTCCGCCTCCGCCCCAGCACGCGACGGTGAGGGACGGCGAGAGTGGCCGAGCCGTCCGTCCCCCTCCGAGCGTCCCCACAGACTGCACCCCACGCAGGCCGCTGGGATACCGGCCAATGATTTTTCCAGCTTTCCCCGACAAGTTTGACGGGTTTGGCCAGTCCGGCGGCACTGTCGTCTCCTAATACATGAACAAATCTGACGTTTGTCGTCGGAACTAATTGCGACGTGTTTGGGATCGCAGGTCATTCGAAACGCAACGTGTGTTTACGTGACCGAGAGGAATGGAAAATCCTGCGTTCATTACGCAACAGCCCAGAAACGAAAAGCTACAAAAGTGCGGAGTCTCGTAAAGGGTGACGTCACGCCAACGGCAATCATATCTGCACAAAAACAGGACTCTGGCCCGTTCGCAGCACCCCGTTTCAAGGTTACATGTTGGGATCACGGGCACGGTGTCAACAATGCAAACCCGCCTTTGACCTTTCGGAGATGGCTGAACGTGGTGAAACCCAAGGGTAATGTTGCGCTAGGTTGCTTAAAACCTTTCGCGCATGAGTGCCTCATGCCGCCGCTTGTGTGCTTTGTCACTCTGGTGACAAAACATTACCACTAGCGTAAAATATCACTCCCGGAGTAAAGCCTCACTCTGCTAACAACAGATGTGCCCGAATAATTGGTGTATTCTCACGCGTCCCAAATAACTGTTAATGGTTGTGGACTGAAAATATTTGGGTGAGAACAGGAAGAAATATGAAAGTTAATTTCCTCAAAAACTCCCGGTATTCAAATCGTCGCAATGCACCTCGTTATCTGAAAGTGCTGTCAATGCTGCAAAGCTCGTCATGCATTGTTTCCATGAGACACCAGCAGCTACAACAGCAGCAAAGGCGCCTAGAGGCTCCAGTTTTAGCCCAGACCCGAACCTGGGTCACCACGGCAACGTCCGAAATGCCCCAGCTGCGTTACTACGCGCCATCACGGTCCAGATTCCGTTGAAATTTAAACTTCTACCAAATGCTCCAAAGCATCGGCGTATAAGACGGCGGGGCATCTTGGGCACGGCGAGCATGCAAATACGCCTAAATGGAATGCACGCTCGCTAGGAAAACAACGAACACATCTAGTCATGGTATATCGGTACTGCCCCCCCCCCCCCCCCCACCCCACCGGTGCTGCCAAAGTCACGCGGCAATAAATACACCCATGACCACTCTGCTAACCGCCTCCACTGTGTCTGGCTTTCCGCGCCCCACGGCTACAGTACGCGGCTAATCCGCCATAACTGCACAGGCACAGCTGATTCAGCGGTGTTCACCATCGTCACAAGGACAGGGTAAGTATACATGACGGTTGACAGCCAATTAAGGCAGGTGGACCCCACGAAAGTTTTTGTGTGGTTTTCCCCTCCCTCAGGGGCGATGTTAATGACGACAGGATCGTTTACACCTACCGCACCAGGGAACTACGCCTGGATTGGCAGGTTGATGGCTATCAAAATTCGGCACAAAAACCTAATGGGAGACCAGTGGTTTCTTTCTTAACTACCGTGGAAGCGATGTGTTAACACGATATATGCCTGTAATGACTGCGTAACGATGCGCAGGTGTTAAAAAACTTGCGGCGACTGGTCAGAAGTACACTGTTAGAAATGTACCTGCGACTGCCACGTTCCACAACAGCACAGTGAATGTCCATCATACAACACAGACTCGCGTGGCAGCGCATGACTTTGCAAGCCAACCCCTTGAATGTCACGTGGTCTCGGAGTTTGCCCGGCTTGCTGGGCGGGGCTCTTGGCCCATGGCATAATACGTGAGGGAGTTGCTACGACGAAATCATTAGGTACCTACAGAATGCTAATCGATACAAATTTGATATGATGTGTGAATAGTGATGTGTTTACTGTTTAGAAACTTAGTGTACTCACAATCAATAGAAACTTTCGTAATTTCTAGGGCAGATTATTTCATTTTTGAACATGCGTTGGGGGATCAAAGGGGCATTGGCTGGGGGGGGGGGGGGGGGGGTGGGATTAACGCTCAGGTCGGCATGGGGGATAAAGTGATTCCCGTGCGTCCGGGGTATTCAACTGTATAAGGCCCCTCACTTCTCAGCTCATTTTTTCCCTGACAGCCCACGGAGACCGCTGAACATTCGTCAGGACTCGGCCATCCCAGTGGTTACCAGACGTAAAACTAAGAGCCTTGACACGTTACTACACGCGGAGTTACCAGATCATGCGGGTGCTGGATGCCTGTGGTGCGTCTACTAGCCTGTAACGGCCATGGCGCTCCCAAAGCATGTCGCAACATGTATATTCTTAAATGACTGCTCGAGTGGTTGACACCTCTCGCACCTACTGCTTCCAAACTAGAGTCTCACGGAGAGAAAACAGCTCATTGGTTTTGGCAAGGTCTTGCAATTGGCCATTAGTTTGACGTTGTTAGGTCAGGAACTGGCCCCATCATGCCAGGTCAAACGCATTTTTTCCCGAAAATCGCACTATTTCAGCTCTATTTACCAATATGTCTGGAGCCATGCTATGCTGCGACATGAAACTTACACAGATGTGTTCATTGTCTAATTTTGGGCACATTACCAGGCCACTCTGTGTGTTTTAGCGTGTTTATTGGATGAAGGGCCCCGTTAACATTTCAGCGTCGGCCCACCCCTCACGATCGGCGGATTCGTCGGCTGCCGCCCGCCGCCCGCGCCGGCCGTAGAACGCCGTGCAGTGCTCCTAAAAGCCATCGGTACTCGGAAACAGAAAAATATAGAACTTGCCATGAAAGCCCCGTAGACTACCGAAAATTAAGGCGCGATTTCACGACAAGCTAGAGAGATATCCTCAAAAAATCTAGGCGGTATCGAAATGTTCGTGGATGTGTAATGGATGGGAGAGTGGTGGATGGGAGGGTAGAGAATGGGAGGGTAGTGGATGTGGCGCATCAACCCTCTCATCGGGGGAAGAGGTAAGCCCGCTGTCATGGGAGGCAATAAAAAAAGCTTCGTGAAAGCGGGTGTGGTCACCGACAATAATTTCCCTCCAACTTCCACGCGGGTCGGGAATTAGGCAACCCAAGAACTCCAAAACCAGTCTCGAAGCACCTCAGAGAGAACCTCTACGTCACACTTTCACGCAAGGCCAGCCGGCCTGCCTCCTACCTCTCCGTGGCGTCCCCGAGATTTAGGCAGATATGCTCCTTCTTGCTCAGAGGGTGGCCGGATCGGGACAGGCTGCGAGGGGGCCCAGCGGAACTGTCCTCCATGCTGCCTGCTCCGAGCAGGCGGAACACCGCGCAGCCCGCTGCAGCGTGCACGACCCTACTCGCGGCACGCACCACGACAACGCACTTCCGTCCCGCCTCGGCTTCGCCACCGACTAGCGGCGGAAACGCTCGCCACCCGAGAACAGTTTCACTCTCGCCCCGTTGTCCCATCTGTTCCGAAAGGAAAGCGACAGTGGGCCGCGCGGCGTGTGGCATCATCTGGCTCGCGCTCCGGGTCGCCGTGGCGCTGTGCGAAGCCGGACATGGCGGGCGTGGCGCGCCGCAGTTGTGTCACGCACGGTGACGGTTCGGCACGGCTCGGCGGACGCTGCGCTCGGTCGGTGACGTAACACCGGACGGGCCATTTCTCCGACGTCCGGCGGCTGCTGCCGCCCGGCTAGCACCCGGCTAGCGCCCGCGACGGCGGGGAACGGCAGGACAACGGCGTAGACAACCGACGTCCGGCGGCTACCGGCGCCCGGCTAGCACCCGGCTAGCGCCCGCGACGGCGGGGAACGGCAGGACAACGGCGTAGACAACCGACGTCCGGCGGCCGCCGGCGCCCGGCAAGCGCCCGCGACGGCGGCAGACGGCAGGACAGCGGCGTAGACAACCGCCGGCTTGGTTACGAAACTAACGGGGGCCGGAGGTGCAGACGATGGACAGGGGTAGCTGTTTGACGGGCCCAGGACAGCGAGACAACGGAGCAGACAGCTGTCGACATGCGCACGCAACTGACGCGTGTCGCAGGCACAGACAGCAAGAGCAGGCAGCTGTTTGGGTGGGACAAACAACTGACACGGAAAACAGGCACGCAAGACTATGATGCATAGTCTAGCGTAGCACAGACAGCTGTGCAGCTGGGGCACACAGCTAGCACAGACAGCAGTGAAAAGAATTCCAACTAAAATGCACAACTGGGTCGGACAGCAGATACAGACAACAGATCACACGACTGTTCGGGTGCGACGCGCCACCGATGAGAGCAGGGTTTACCACCGACGAGACAGCTGGTAAACGCGACTGACGCAGAAACAAACACAAATGACAGGACAGACAACTGTCCGCTTTGTATACGCCACTTCCACGGGCAGCAAAGCAGACAGCAAAACATGCAGCTGTCCAACCCAAGAGCATAACCGGAAAACAGACAGGAGAGCAAACCGTGGCCGGCAACAGATGACAGCAGATAATTGAGTGTTTATGTGTGTGTGTTGCACCCTGGATCAGCTGCCCCCTCCCCCTCCCCCTCCCTTCGAGATGAGAAATCACGGTCGGGGTCGATAACCTCACAGCTAGAGCCTACGAGGCCAGAACGCAGCACGCTATTCTGGTTCTGGGCGCGTGTTTCCGTCATCAGAGCCAAAACAGCGGCGTCATCTCCAGCCGACCTTCCGATAGTATCTGCTCGTGTCGACATCTGGGCCAAGCGACAGGTGGTGTCTCATCGGTAAGCGTTGCCACCGCGGGAGAGACGAGTGCACGATGGGGAACAGCTATGGAGGGAAAGAGAAGTGAACGGAGATGACGGTGGAGCGGTCCCGGCTTGGTGGGCAGGGAGCAAGTGGTGAGGACTAGAGAGGCCGAGATGGTAAAAGGGGTGATGGAATGGCACAGGAATGAAGCGAACTGTGAAGGCGAAAGGGTGAAAAAGTGGGAAGAGAAGGAGGGAGGCAGAAAGAGAGAGAGAGAGAGAGGGCGGGGTAGGAGAATGGGGAACAAAGTAGAAAAGAGTTCGGAAAACACCTGCTGCGGAGGTCTTTTCTCCCCTCGCGCGTGAGCTGATGTCCCTGCCGCTGCGTGCCACCGACCGAGCGACTTAGGTCACGCCTCTCTGGCCATCCTGTCAGCGGGCACCGAGCGCCGCGCCGCCCTCGCCGTCCGTCCTCGCATGGGTGGGCTGCTGACAGGACAGGAACAGCTCGCGGGGGAGGAGGGACCTCGCCCCAGCTCGGCTGCGACGGGTGAAGCCTGACCGACGTTCGGCACAATTAACCTCGACATTTTTGGGCTCGGCACACGGGCTTTTCCGGAGATGGGGATCACGCTTGAATGCGTCGGGAGCAGCAGGAGCCTCTGCGAGCTATCGCGGCGTCTTTCGCTGGGAGGGGTAGAGGTTAGGGTTGTCCCTGCAGGCTAACGTAGGGTACCCATGAAAAGAAAAGACGATGAGCTACAGACAGAAAACGAGGCAGTTGAAATTGAAACGTTGCGCCTACAACGGGGATATTCACGCATTTCGGCTCACCCACCCATATTACGCCTATGACGTATCACCACGTGTGTGCACACCTCATCGGCGTAGCGCTCGGTCAGTACAAACTCTGCCTCCGAGAGGCTAAGATTGCAGCACGCAGCCTCGTGAGCTGCGCCGGCTGCTCACGCAATGCACCGCAATGTATGGAGCGGTCGTGTCCTGAGGCCAGCGCGGCCGCTGCGCCGCTAGGTCCGTGTTTTGCCGGCGCGCAGGCCGCCGCAGCGGCGCCCGCGCGCCACCGCCGACCGCGACCGCTGGTCGGCAGCGGGTCGCGGCGGCATCGGCGGCGCCGGTCACGGCAGGCGCGCCGGCGGCCGCCGGCCGTGTCACCGGTGACCGCCGGCGGCGGACGCAGGTGGCGCGTGCAGACCGCGGCTGCCGGCGCAGGCGGCGGCTAGCGGGAGCGCGGCGGTGGACAACGGTTCGCGCGATGAGCGCCGTCCGCCCGCGGCGACCTCCCGGCTGCGGGCGTCGCTCGCCAGGGGTGGGACGGAGCGCGGGGAGGGGCGAAATCGCGGGGCCGTGTTCAGGAGAGAACGGCTGGGCTCTTGCCGCTCCCCAACATACAGTTGGGTGCCCCAATTGACCCAGCGCCGTGCCAGCCTGGGGCAGCATGCTCACATGCTCATTAAATGTTTCAGGAAGTGCAATAACAATTCAAGTGAGTCCCGCCGGCTACTTTTGCTAACTACATCCCCACTAGAAAGTGCTGAGGAAAGACACATTGGCGAGAAAGAGCAGCTTGCAAGGGAAAGGGCTAAAAATTATGCTAATTGTAACGGACAAGAGCTGAAAAGGAGAGCTGGAATGGACGCTGCCGGGCGGGCCGACAAACCGCGACGCTCCCTGCTTTCCCAGCCGAACAGAACGGTCTGGAGTCCGGTCCGACCCGGTAACTGCCTCCCCGTGGTACGCTGAACGAGGAGAGAATGGGCAACAGCCGCACCTGCGGGCGCCAGCTCCTATCGTGCGCATCTCTGGACCGACAGCTGAGGCAACGAATTCGTCGTCTGAAAGCAGATAATATGAGGGGAACGCTCACCGGATGAGACTTCAGTGAATCGGTACAAATGTCAGCTGGGCTGGTTGGCCAGATTCGATCCTCGACGAGCTATTTCCATGCGTGAGGTCTTTGTTTCTCGCTTTGTGGTGTTTGTGCAGGACAGTGCCCCACCTGAGTCTGCGTCTTTTTGGCTCGGCTTTCGAGGGCAGTGTCGTGTCTTGCCCGCACGCCCTGGAGGCATACGGCATGCATAGCCTGGTGCCTGTGAGCTGTGTGTGCAGCGGTCTGTGGCAGGAATAGCACACTATCGCCTTTGGCTGACTCTCACCGGCGCCACCGGCGGCCAGAAATTGTCTTCACCGGAAGCCCGTCCGTTACATGCATGAAGGCCTTTGCTCACGCTCGGGTAGAGAAATCAAACGAATTAGTTCATCGCCGGGTGGTTGACATTTTGTGTCTGTCACAATGGTTACGGTCATCCTATGCCTTTCGCCAAACCACCAAGAAGGCCAAAGAACGTAGCGATTAGGGTGATATCGGCAATCCACATATACTGGAATCTCCTTGTGAGAGTGATTGCCCTTGCCCCACGCTTCAAAGAAGTGGCTGAAATTGTTCGAAAGTTGGGAAGTACCACGCCACGATCTCCGCTATGTCGGTTTGTTTACCAAATAGCTGACCTAGGGCTACCCTGGTGTGAAATGGAACCAGAACAACATGCTGTTGAGGAATGTAACTACTGGCCATGGCATGCAAAATAAGTGCTCATGTGCGTGATAGCTACGTGACGTAATCACCTCGCGTTCCATTCAACCTGTTATATTATGCGTACCTTATGCTCGAGCTCACTGGCTTAAATCATTAAATACCTCTGGCAGCATGAATAGATAACTAAGCCTCCCAAGGGAAGATCATTACGAATCCTGTGCAACTCATTCGACTGATCTGACATGACCGTGGTTCGTGTTCGAGGGATCCTCGTTCCGTAACCGGAGGCGTCCACTGAACACAATCTTCGTTAAATGCGCGGAGTGTCCGCGAACAGACTGCTCTTCCCAACGCCCCATGAGTTCGCCGGCATGCGCGGTTCACCGCGGCATTTCGGGTCTCTGGAGTGCCCAGCGCCGGGCGAGTTTGGTCACGGCCCGCGGTGGCCGCGGGCGAGCTGGGAGGACAGGGAGGACTGGGAGGACCGGGAGGACAACCTGCCACTTACTACGTCGGCGCAACCGCTCGCTCTTCGCCGCGCCACGCCCAGTTCATGCGCGGTCACATTCCAGACCGCTTTCGTGTCATTCCAGCCTGCCCCGCACGCAGCGGGCCTAGAAAAAACATCGGACATAACGAAGTTCGAAGGACGAGGGCAGGCGAAGGACATCTCCCTTTCTCAGAGGAACTGGCACATGTTGCTCGCGCGGCGCGCGCCCGTCGCAACGGAAGCTGCGCGCCTGACCCGTACGGGACCGGGACTCCCGTTACCCGCATACCCACATGGTTTTGCGGAGCCCCGCTATGTGACTGCGTGAGCGCACACAGAGAACTCCAGTCCGAAGGGCGGACGGCCGAATCCGGCCTCCGCAATACTTAATGTACGCGGCAACAGTGCAAATTTCCTGCATAGCATCATTACATTCGGCACTTTCTCCTGACGTATGTGGAGACTTGCTTCGCCAGCCATTTGCCCTTGACGCTCCAGTATTTCTATAAATTGGGTTCAGTCTATGCCGGATAAGCCAGTACACCCAAGAGCACCGGCATCGCCGAAGTATTCACAACAATGCGTTACTAGTGTATGCTACGTGCAGGTGTGCTGCACACAGTTGCTGTGTGCTGCGCAGCT